AGTTTAAAGTTTGATCCTAGTGTTGATCACAAAATATCCAATACAAGTCATTCTAGTTGTTCGGATGGTATGAAAAATTAATGCAATGTGTGCCATTGGCGTGCACATAAAAAACCATATTGACAGTTGAAATTGGACAAAGAAAGGGCACCATCCGAAGAAAATTTGCCTTCTAGCACACTGACAAATGTCCATGTGGGGTTAAGTTAAACCATTTCAAGGTTGCATAACTGGGTTGGTGAAGATGAGCATGCAGAGTGCTATGAGGGAAAAGTGTTCCTGGCAGATGAATTGTCAGCTAAGTAAACTGTGGTTTACACACATGCTCTGTGTACATACATGTATATCATTTTAACTTGGATTTTTATGTGATTTTGGTTCTTTTTTTTTTTTAGAATTCCAGAAAATTGCCATGGCAACAGCTATTGGATTCTGTATTATGGGTTTTATTGGATTTTTTGTAAAACTTATCCACATCCCAATCAACAACATCATTGTGTAAGTAAAGTTTATTTTTTCACAGTATTTAAGACTCCTCTTTAAGGTTGAACTTGAAGTATATAAATATATATACATTGTACTGAATGCATATATATTTATATTTTGTACAGTGTATCAAATAGCCCATACAGGGTTTAAAATCCCTGGCATTGGCTGAATTAATTCAACTTGTGTGTCTGAACAAAGAGGTGGACCAATTAAACCAGTTTAAAACCTGGGTTCTGTACCAGTCTCTTGGGGTTGGATGGACGAATGGTTAGCACATACGCGCTGTATCGTAAGGCCTGTCATTGAGTCAACTGGTGTGGTTTCGACGATTCCCCGGTTGTACTTGACAAGGGGTAGGGTCGTCTGTCCAACCACGTAGGTTTTCTCCAGGTCCTCCGGTTTCCTCCCACTGCTAAAGACCCCTACGTACAAGCGAATAATTAAAATAAAATTGAACCACATGTTAGTACTGAAATGACCTTGTTTGTGTCAGTGGACGTTAAGCTCCATTTCTCCCCCTCTCTCAGTAACATCTCTTAATTTTTGGGATCATATTACTGAAATACTTTTTGTATTCTTTAACATATTTTCTTTTCAATAATAACTTTGCTTTCTTTATTTTTCAGTGGATCTTAAATACTCGAAGGACTGGAAATCGGAAAACACACAGGAAATTTTTTGTCATTCATCATCCAACACTTTTAGAGACCTTGTTAAACAATTACAGCATCACAACTTCTTGACAGTTTGACTTATTTTTTTTTTTTTATATCGGTAACAGTGTTGTGAAATTCCGACAATTAAAGAGACAACTTCTATAATATAAAGAGATATGTATGTGTTGAAAGAAATATGAAAAGGACATGGAATTTAATTTTGTTTGCTGGCAAAAAGTTGTACAATTACTTGTGAATTAATAGTCATGAAATTTTATAAATGTATCATAATAATTTAAGAAAATAAAAAATGAATTTGTAATTGCTAATTATTACCAATGGCATGTTTGTTGTGCCAAGTGAGTACAAGTTATACCTCTTTAGGGGTCATCTTCAGAAATGAAATGGAGTTTAATGTCCTACGGTTCTGCTCCCACTGGGCTAATGAAGACGGGCATACGCCATACAGTGTGCTATGAGGGAAATTTTGCCCGGGCAGCGGCACTATGGCCTCCTTTACGTGCATGCCAATGTATACACAGGACATCAGGTTTTTTGTCCCATCTGAATAACTAGACACCACTCTAAAGGGGAAACTTATATCTTGAGGATAGGGTGGTCAAGTGATCTAACACATCTGCTTTAGATTTTAAGATCTGTTATTGAGTCATGTGGAATGGCTTGTACGTGTATGTGTCATCTGTCCAACCATATGGGCTTTCTTCGATTTCCTCCCACTGCTAAAGACCCTTATGTGCACGCGAATCATGGAGTACATGTTCATCCAAAAATGACAGTTTGTGTTAAGTGGACATAATTTCTCTATCTCTGTTTTGTCCATGGATTTTTCTTGTGGATGTTTGTGTGCAGTGCTGTCCGACTGAGCTTATTATTACATATGCAGCTGGATTGAATACAACAGAATAGCTATGCGAAAAGCGCAAATAAAAATTGAGCAATTAAAATAAACATGCACACACTACCATACTCTTCAAGTTATATACCCCCATTTTGAAATGTGCTCATTACGGTTTTCATCCAGGTCTCTGAAATCTACTTCACGGGCAGACGGGAGGGGGAATGGTTTGCATGTGCATGCTGCATCAAAAAGTCTGTCATTGAGTCAACTGGCGAGGTTTTGATTCCCTGGTCGTATGTGACAAGGAGTAGGGTAGCCTATCCAACCTTGTGGGTTTTCTCCGGGTCTTCCCACTGCTAAAGACCCCTACGTGTATGCAAATTCTTGAAATAAAATTGAATCATATGTTAGTCCCGAAAAGACCTAGTTTGTGTCAAGTGGATGTTAAACCTCATTTCTCTCTCTCAAAAAAGAATTGGCGCATAAGATAAACACCCACACACACTACCTGTCATGTTTTATAGCCCATTTTGACGATGCCTCAGTGAGTAAAGCTCACCACCAGCTGGGTTGTTCTGATTTCAATTCTGACTTTGGTCCAGAAGATCCTTGGGTCTTTCCTGTCGGGTTACCCTTTGTCTGTGTTTTAGGAAGGAAGGGATATAAAGCGGCCAGTTTGGAAAAAACAAGGTCCTGTGTCTACATTAGCATATTCAGGTAAGAGTACACAGTAATACGCTAACCTGATAAAATGTCCCTTATAGAACACTCTATACCGTCTTCTGTATCCAGGACCATGCTTCACAAAACATTCTGAGAATAAGTTAAGAATTTGTACAACTTTCAATCACTTTTGATAAGAAATATGTGTCATCCAGAAACACAGAACTTTGCACATAGTTTTTTATTGATGTATTTGATACATTAAAACAACAACCATTTTATAAAGGGCTATATTTTAGTTAAAATAAGGCAAACAATTCTGAGTAAATTCTTAACTTAAACATACATTATGCAAGATCTAAATCTGCCTAGCTATTAGTATTACAGGTCTTTCTAAGTCTGAGAATGCTTTGTGAAACTGGGACCTACAGAAAAAGTAGGAACTTCATTTCATTTCTGTATTATTATTGCGTGTGGCTGCCCTATGTTATCATCCATCTGAAATGTGTTATATGTCCATTGCGGTCGTCTGTCCAACCTCATGGGTTTTCTACGGGTCCTCCGGTTTCCTCTCAATGCTAAAGACCTCTGTGCACAAGCGAATTATTGAAATAAAATTGAACCATGGGTTAGTCCCCAAATTGCCTAGTTTGTGTTGAGTGGACGTTAAACCCATTTTTCTCTCTCTCTATGTCCATTATTTCATCAGAGAAATACTGATTATCCAGTGTGTATTAAAAGCTGAAAAGAATGGTGCTTGGTCATTTTGTCCAATCGAAAATTTGGCCTGTTTTTTATTTCCAGACAAGATATTGTGCTAATTATCAAACATTTAACTCTCACACTAAAAACAGTATAAACATTATACTTTGTTGAGCCCTATACCAGGTTGAAACAATATTAATTCATTTCAAGATACATAGTCTGCCCCCCCTTGTAACTCATTCGTTTGTATAGTCGTTTGGATGGGATGAAAAACCAAGGTCCTTTGTACTTAATGGCGTGCACGAAAAAGAACCCTTGACAGTTGGAATTCAAAATAAGAGTAGGCCATAGCACCACTGTCTGGGCAAAATTCCCCTCATAGTATACTGCATGGCGTGTGCCCGTCTTCATCAGCCAAGTAGGGGCAGAACAGTAGGACGTTAAACTCCACTTCATTTCTAATAGAGAAATGGTGTTTAATGTCCACTAGACACAAACTAGGTCTTTTCGGGACTAACATATGTTTAATTTTATTTCAATAATTCGCTTGCATGTAGGGGTCTTTAGCAGTGGGAGGAAACAGGATGACCCGGAGAAAACCCACAAAGTTGGACAGGGGACCCTACTCCTTGTCACATACACCAAGGGATTCGAAACCAAGCCAGTTGACTCAATGACAGGCTTTATGATACAGCGCGCACGTGCTTACCATTCGGCCATCCATCCCCACCCTCATTTCTAATAATGTCCCTATCTGATCTCAAAGTTTTTATTAAAGATACATTGTTCAAGAGCTTAATTTTCCTATTGCAGGTCTTTCTTAAGGCCTTAAATACATGTATTATATAAATTATAAAACATGCATCTAGATCTTCCTATTGCAGGCTTTTGACAGTTGACATGCATCATGCAAGAGCTAAATCTTCCTATTGCAGGCTTTTCTTTAGGCCTAAAATGTTATCTTAATTATTAATTAGACATTAATTAACTTCTACAGACAATCATTGCACATTTGGCTCAGAACAAAGTAATATGAAGGAAATTTTCAATATATTCATTTTACATAATCTATTTTTGAACTATTATAACAAGAACGGCTAGCTCTTTATCTAAATCTTACATAATGTATCTTTAAATAACTTACTTCAACAAATTGACCAATCTGATTGAAATTATACCTTTCCATTTGCTTTTCGCTTTCTGTTTATATTTAATGTTTTACCAAACTCGATTTGGTTTAACACTGGATAAAATATTTTTTTAATGTTAATTGGAGAGAGAGAAATGGGGTTTAACGCAGTGGGAGGAAAACGGAGGACCCGGAGAAAACCTACGAGGTTGGACAGGCGACCCTACTGCTTGTCACGTACAACCACGCCAGTTGACTCAATGACAGACTTTATAGTACAGCGATGTGTAATACACACAAATATAAAAAATTCAACGACTAGACAGCTGTTTTTGTCAGGCCCTCCCTCCTGCACCACTGACAAGGGGAAACCATGCGGGAAATATCCCATGAACTTTCTCGGCCAACACTGGGATCAAACCTTCGACCTATTGGCTAGAGAGCCAGCGTCTTACTTACTTATCCACTGTGGCTCCCATGGATAATATACAGCAATATATAAAATTCAACATTTTATTACAACTTTTGCAACATTTACACAAAATAAATTTTCCTATTGATCACTTAGCTGAATGCACAAATGTAGAACTGGACATATATATATCAGCACAAATAATTAGCACAACCGCAAAGCTGCATTACTTTGTTTCACTGTAAATGATGAAAAAGTTAAAAGCTATTCTGACACAAACTGATTTCAATGCTGGTTTAATAACATTTTAAAGTATTTTTCGTCTGTCTTGGGATTATTTCAATGCTGGTTTAATAACATTTTAAAGTATTTTTCTTCTGTCTTGGGACTATTTCAATGCTGGTTTAATAACATTTTAAAGTATTTTTGTCTGTCTTGGGACTATTCATAAATAAATACATATAGAAAGTACCAACCAATCTCTTGGTTATCATACTCCTACTTTATTTCGTTCTTTTATTTTTTAAGTGGCATTTAGTAACTGGGTAGATAAATAAACTATAACACATACTGATTTATTCCTTCTCAACGTCATCAAGCTAATTTAGTAATACAACAGAACAAAATTTCAAGCAACATATATGCCATGTATAAATGAAATGAAATGGGGTTTAACGTCCTACTGTTCTGCTCCTATGCTGGGCTAATGAAGACGGGCATACGCCATACAGTGTGAGGGAAAGTTTGCCCGGGCAGCGGCACTATCGCCTACTCTTATATCAAATTCCAACTGCCAAGGGATCTTTTACGTGCATTCCAATGTGGACACGGGACCTTGGTTTTTCGTCCCATCCGAACGACTAGACAGCTGTCCTTGTCAGGTCCTCCGTTCTGCATCAATGACAAGGGGGAAACCACGGCGGAAAATCTGGATGAACTTTCTCGGCCAATGCAGGGATCGAACACCCGACCTCCAGGCTAGCGAGCCAGCGTCTTACCCACTTAATCTCCAATGTGTTCATGTGCGCTTTACTTTGACATATAGCGTAAGACAATATGGCATTTACATAATAAAACAGGACAACAAAGAGCATACTTGATGAAATGTATAAATAAAAACTGTCATTTAGATAAATAACACGGGACCTTGGTTTTTCGTATCATCCGAAGGACTAGACAGCTGTCCTTGACTGGCCCTCCGTCCTGCATCACTGACAAGGGGGAACCACGCCGGAAAAATGCTGTGTATAGTTTCAGCTTTGTTGTTGTAGTTTTGTCTATATATGTTGCTTCAAATTTTGTTATATCAGTCGTTGTTGTTTATATTTTAGAGGAGAGCAGAAAAAAGCTTCCCTTAATCAACAAATTGAAAAATCGCTCCCCTAAAAAAGCTCTCCCAGTTTTGATAAGAAGAGTGATTTTGAATTTAACGAGAGTGATCTGATATCAAGGAGATGGAGAGTGATTAGTTGTGTGTATGGGAAATGGTTTTGAAGAATGATAACTGCATGTTAGGGGGTCATTCCTGGATTCATAAATGATATTACCCCCTGCCCACCGGACTTTGTAAAGGAGAGCGATTTTCAATTTTAAGGTGAGGGATAAAAAGCTCGCCTCGGTCAACATTCAGGTGAGCGGCAGGTATTTGAGAGTGATTGCTCGCCTTAAAAAACAATGACTGGTCATATTGTATTAGCTTGAAAACTTAGAGAAAATACTCTTCGCAAAATGTCGCCTAAATAGAGAGAGAGAAATGGGGTTTAACGTCCACTTGACACAAACTAGGTCATTTCGGGACCAACACATGGTTTAATTTTATTTCAATAATTCGCTTGCGCGTAGGGGTCTTGCCACGTACAACCGGGGATTCGAAACCACGCCAGTTGACTCAATGACAGACTTTATGGTACAGCGCGCACGTGCTAACCATTCAGCCACCCAATCCCCCGTCGCCTATATAATTCGGTACTCTTTTTCCATAAGTATGTGTTATAGTTGACTTCTTTCTTTGTTCTTGATTTTGTTTTCATTTAATTTTTTCAAATACAGGTAAAATTAACAATCCAGCATGGTATCAATAGCTACATGTATATCACCGGGTTGAAGATCTAATACCAGCAAGCAAATTCTTGACCACTGTGTAGATGATACAAGTTTGAAAGATATACTTCATACGAAGCTCGACAGATATAAAAGCATAAGCTTACATAGTTTAATCCAAAACAACGTAAAATTGGTATAAAGTTCACTGTATCATCACCAAGGGAAATAATACATCAGATGATGTAAATTCAACATATTTTTTCAATGGAAATTAGGAATTGAATGTGAAATACACAGGTCAAAATTCTATGGAATATAATTACTGCTTATTACGGACGGACGTTTCGACTAGGCCGCTCAGCTTGATGAAGACTAGTCGAAACATCACTCAGTAATAAGCAGTTATTGTATTCCATAGAATTGTCACCTGTATATTCCAGCTGGACTTAATCCAACACGTCTAGCTTAGAAGAACAAACAAACAAACACTTCAAATGAAATTATTTTCAGTTGTCCAGTTATCTCCCCTTGAATCAACACAAACTCCTTAACATCATTTTATTTACTTCTTTTTTTTCTTTCCGTCACCTTTAGATTTTTTCTTGGCAGGTTCCGCGTATTTGGCCTCTAACTGAGCAAAAAAGTCATTTGAAGCAGCTTGTCGTGAATCCTGACGTTTTCGAATTAAAGCTGTTAAACTATGCTCATCACTGATTCCTAACTTCTTTGCATGAGCCTCGGCTTCTTTGGCTTCTTCATCGGCCTGTAATCAAAAGTTTAGAATTTTATTTGAGAAATTAATATGAATAAGACACTTTACCCAATACACTACCACATACTACCCAACACCATCACATACAACCCAATACCACCATATGTTATTTTAAGCGGTGTTTTCGAAAATTAGATAAAGAGCTGATAGTTCTCGCTATACTTGTTAAAAGATAGGTTGCCAGGCAACGAAACATACGCCCACAGCAGCTATATCGTCCGGGCAGTCAACAAGAGTTGTCGCATATTTTTACTTTTTTCGGTAATGAAATATTTATAATACATTAAAATCTGATTAAGAGTGACAACTCATTAAGTAATTATCAGAAAACCAATAGGCTTCTTCGTCTTATGACCTTAAACACTGTGTATAAATTTAAAGTCAATTGGATATTAACTTTAGCCTATAGAGCATCCACAAGCAATTGTGGACTGGCCGGCCGGGGGCGACAACAATGTACAACCACATTTCAATGTGGGCGTATAAAAATAGATAATGTAAAGGGAATATGCTGAAAATTTCAGTCAAATTACTTCACCCTGAGTCAAGAAAATTGAATTTCAAGAACATTGTAGCTTCGATTGTCATTGTTACGATATTAAACAAAGTCTTGGTTATCAACAGTGAACCTTGACTCATCTGAAAACATCACATTGCTCCAGCGTCGATTATCCCAGTGTTGACGATCCCTACACCAACGACGTCTTGCCTGAATGTGATGATCTCTCAAACAAGGGATCACGCGAGGACGTCGGGCGCGAAGGTGACCCCTATGCAGTCGATTCCGAATCGTCTGGCCACTCACTCTCACACCAGTGTCTGTTTGAAGACGAGCGCTGATCTGATTTGCTGTGATGACACGATTTCTCAAGGCCAAGGTACGGATAAATCGATCCTGGGCTTGAGTTGTCGCCCTTGGTCGACCTGAGCGTGGTCTGTCCTGTACAGATTGTGTATCACGGTATCTGGACCATAGCCTGCTTATGACAGACTGAGAAACATTCATCGTCCGCGCCACAACCGCCTGTGTTGTGCCGATCTGTAGCATGCCAAGGGCACGTAACCTTTCATTTTGGGTAAGCCGACGCATATCAAAATTTGTTTTCTGGTCACTAAAACAATTAAACTGATGTTTCCACCCTGGAATTCAATGCCACAATGACTGTAACATTCAAAGTCAGAGTCGTGCAAATCTTGGGTTGAACCCCCATGATGATCCCAAGCATCACCTGCATTCCATGCGGTAGCTATTGGTGCGTTTGGGCGTCACATGTAACTGGAAATGTTTCTTCTGTTAGGTTCTATAGTGACTTTTTTCGTAGTCATTTGCATATTTTAGTATTATGCCCCCAAAATCAAATATCCCCTACTTTTTTTGAATAGTATATAACATTTAAGGCCTAAAGAAAGACCTGCAATAGGCAGATTTAGCTCTTGAATAATGCCTGTTTAACTCTCGAAAATGAATGTTCACTGAATTGGTAGTCTGTAAGTCTGTTATATGAAACGGTACTGAATTTAAGTTGGAAAGTTCAATGATTTTAAGTCAACAAAGGACCATAATTCAGTCCAAAAATTAAAGGAATCCTACAAATTACATACTTAATCAGTGACTCTGTTATTTCAATCATATAAAACACGTTACTAAAAATACTTTCGTAAAAATAAAAAGGACAAACGGACGGACGGACGAATGGATGGATGGATGGATGGATGGAGACAAAACTTAAAACATTGTCTGGTTTCACCATATAGGGTGCTAACAATGGTCTTTAAATCCTTGTAGATCCTTCATGAAAAGTTATTGAGTTATAAACGACCACTAATAATTAAAATTGTAAAGCTAGTGTTTCGTAGTCTCTACTATGAATATTAGTCTGGATTATTCAGTCTTTCATGTCATTGTCAGGGCTGCCGACAACCAGTATCGCAGAGCAATTTGCGATACATATTTTGTCCGTTGCTAATCAAAAATTAAAATCTAATGTTTTTGATTCGCAGTAACTGCGAATCATTATTATGCCTGTCATTTTGGATATTGACACAAAGATTTATCCACATTTTGATGACTGTCTTTCTCAACACTTTCAACATATATAAAATTTTCAATAAAATTTTATAAACAAAACTGAATTCTCTGTGTGACATTTTCTTCTCGAAATACCCAGACACAAATCATTGTACCATATAATACAGGGACATAACTCTATCAATTGGACCATATAATACAGGGACATAGGGAATCAAGTAGTACCACCCATGTTGCGAGACACGTCAATTTCGAGTAATTATATCAGCATTCAATTTGAAAGAAATAAATTCAGTGTATCCCCCACGTATTGTAAATAAAATATAAGAAATAAATAAGTGTAAATGTATTGTGAAAAGAGAAATCAAAGTAAGAATTCCCGTAAAATATTATTGTTTATATCGCGTGCGTCTAGTTAATCGAGATTATTCGTAAAATACAGTGTGCGTCCGATTGAACAAAAATAGTAACACACGATAAAAAGCAGACGTAATTATTTTCTAACCAACAAATAAGAATTAAAATGGGCAGAACTTCGGAAGCCACTGCCAAGAATTGGCTTCAGACATAAGACCTAACCAAAAGTCTACATCACATTCAGAAATGGTCACAGCTACCAGTAGCAGTGCTAAAATTCTAAAAAGTCTTAAGAATGAAATCTAATCATGTGTTATAAATCAAAATTAAAGTAATATCTTGTTATTTAGGTGTTTTATGTTGAAACTGAAAATCTGCTAATTAATATTTAAATTTGCTAATCAAATTTGGCAAAATTGGTCTTTTTGATAAGCAGTGCCTGCTAATCATCTGTGAAAAATTACCGACAGCCCTGGTTATTGTGTACAAAATTTTTTTTTTTCAGATCTAGAGTGTAATTAGGGAGGTAAATAGCCCTAAAACAAGATGTTGACACCCATAAAATTAATTTAAGGACTGCCATTTCAGAAAAATCTATTTGAATTGCTGGCCTGTTCTCAACATCCAACATTCCAATTTTTTTTTATTGTAAAATGTATCTCTTCAAGGATTATATTTATGTTTTTTTATTAATTATTAAACCTAATTTATCCTGATTATTAAACATACATTATGCAAGAGCTAAATTTGTATTGCATGTCTTTCTTTAGGCCTGAAATGTTATGTAACCATAATCAACTCTCGATGGCTTCGGATACTCAAGATTTTAACTAGATGAAAATGGTTCGCCATTTAAAAATTTAATTGAAAAATGGAAAGCGAGGCTAAGTCTCGAATATACATGTGCCCCGATTACCACAATGCACACATCTTGTCAAAACTACTAACAGTGATAATTTGGATCAGAATGAAATAATTTGAATGAAATTTTCAATATTTTCATTATCTATTTTTGAGCAATTATAGCAAGAATGGTCAGCTCTTTATCTAAATCTTACATAATGTATCTTTAATGTTTGATTATAATAATGCATGAATTACGGGATTTATTTTGGAAAGGGGAACAACTCTTTCTTTCTTGACTATAACTAAATTTTTCTTACTTTTCAAACTCATAGGAACAAATCATTCTATTTCTAAAAATGTTTTTGTATTTTCGATCAATTTTATTGTTAAACTCTGGCCTAACAGCAAGCCTGGAAATAAGGCACATGTCACAGACAATGTCAGGCACAGATTCAGGCTTTGTCAGCTAGGCAGTAAACATCTGGTGCCTGTCATTTTGTTCGGCACTGATTTGTCTTTTTTATTGATATTATTAATACATGTCTGGCACTAAGTTGAAAAGGTCAGCTGCTATTTCAGTATTTCCTCACATTTTTTCAGGTACATCTAAAACCGTTATTTCTAAGCCTGACTAATTGCCTGAAGAAATATACAATCATATTTCCATGTCAGCGAATATTGATCATACCTTCTGTTTTCTTGCATTTTTCTTTGATTTTTTCTCGTTTGTAAAAGCTTTAAATTTGGGAATTTCTTTCTTTTTGATAAGATCAGCTAAAATATCCCTAAATCTTTGTTCATCATCTACAGTAGCACATAAAACACTATCAATAATAACATCCATATCACCCTCAGCATCTATATACGCTTCCTTTAAATCTTTTAACTCTTCTTCTGATCCTGAAAAAATACAAATTATAATTTATAAAAGAACTATCAATAAATTGAGAGAGAGAGAGAGAGAGAGAGAGAGAGAGAGAGAGAGAGAGAGAGAGTAGGTCATTTTCGGACTAACATGTAGTTCAATTTTATTTCAATAATTCACTTGCATGTAGGGGTCTTTAGCACTGGGAGGAAACTGGAGGACGAAACTGGAGAACGAAAGTGGAGAAAAACAACAAGGTTGGACAGATGACCCTACTCCTTGTCAGGTACAACTGGGGAATTTATCAAATATCACAATAAACCATATTTTCGTGATAATTTATACATGTGTCTTAAGAAGTCAAATTTTGAATACTTGGGCAGAAAATCATTGCTTGATGTCAAATTATTGTTGCTAAGGTCAGTAGATGCCATGATGGAGATATTTACCCTAGACCAGCTGATACTTAATAATGCTATTTTACCTGATGAATTTAATTCTATCAATATAATATTATGTCATACAAGTTAGTCGAAGTAAAATATTATGTAAACATAACTGGCAGGGTTCTTAATATTTTGATATTTACAAGACAGTGACAGTTGCGACTTGGGGTAAATACTGTGCAACCTTGACCTTGCCAAACAACTGTTCCTCAATTACGAGTCCTTGCTTCATTCATGACCCTCTCGTATTGCCATTTCGACTTCATACTGCGCACTACAGGTATATTGCAATCAAACCTAAATTTTTAGATGTCTTTCATGGTAGCAACACGAAAGCCCTGTTAAATCCATTGTATTATGAAAATTGAGAGCTAATTCAGATAAAACAGAGTTCAAAATTTCTGACCTTGATATTTTTCTTTATAATTCTTGATATCTGTCATTGTAATTTGATGAAACAATAGTCTCCAATAATCGTACCAATCTCTATCTTGTGTTACATCGTTCTCTTCATCTATATCACCTTCAAAATATATTTTAAAAATTTAAAACAAATGTATAAAGTAAACCAAAAATCTAAAATAAATAAATAAATAAATAAATAAATAAATAAGTTATATTTATAGCACAGCTTTCATGAGTTAACAGGTTTAACCAGAGGACGTAGACAAAGGTGTTAAACCTGTTAACGAATGAAGCGTGCTATAAATGACTTGTAACATTGACACCTGTTCAACATGCTTGTTGTTATTGCACCGAAAACCCACCCCACTTCTCTATATGATTTCTACTAAAACTAGTGTAAACCAGCAAAAGTGTGCAATAACATTGAACATGTCTAGTTATTGCACAGGGTAAGCTCCACCCTGATAACTTTAGTCACACTTTAAATAAAGATAGTTTGCCAGGCAATGAAACATACACCCAATTACAAATTGAACTGGTAGAGTTAATATCTCCGTTGTCATCCATCAGAATGCAAATAGTCATTGAACGAGCATTATGCAAGAGCTAAAAACTATACTGCTGGTCCTTCCTTCTTCAGTCCTTAAACGTTATCCAAACCAATAATTAGACATTAATTAACTTATCAAGAGCATAATCAACTCTCCATGCTATTGATAGCCTGTGATATTCAGTAGATTTTAATGGATGAAATAAGCGTAAAATAGCCTAAAATTGAATCGCTCATATCAAGGTTCAGAGTGAATCAATTTGACTGAAATTTTCAACATAATCTCTTTTCATTATCTACTTTCTAACTATTATAGCGAGAACTGCCAGCTCTTACCTAATGCCCCATTAAGTATCAATTTCAATACTGCACCAAATACAAAATTAAATTTCTTGTAAAGTAAAATAACTAGTTATTAGAAAGTTATCTTAAACTCGCTTCTTTTCAACTCAAAGAGTGCAAACTTGTCCCATACCGAACAAACAGGCCTTCTCTTTTGCAGATCATTAACACAAATCTTGGCTAGCTTGAAACTAAAAATTAGATGATATTTGTTGTGTTGTTTTTATTTTACCAACCTGTTTCATCATATATTTCTCTACGTGTTTTATCTTGTAATAAATTATAAACTCTCCCCAAAGTCTGAAATTTCTGGGTAGCTTCATCTTTCTTATCTTTTCCTACACGGTCAGGGTGAACGGCCAATGACTGACGATGGTAGCCTTTCTTTACTGAAAAATATTTCAAAATGAAGTGAGTGGTTAAACATACATTATGCAAGTGCTAAATCTGTCTATTACAGGTCTTTCTTTAGGTCTGAAATGTTATCTAAATTGTTAATTAGACACCACCAGACCATAGTCAACTCTCCATGCCATCGCTAGCCTGTGATATTTTGTGGATTGGAATACATTTTTAGAAAAATAATTAAATGTAAAAATAGATATTCGAGACTTTTGTTTTTTATCGTACCGACTTTAGTAGTGATGATCGAGGCTAGCCTACAATTCAAAAGCTAATATCTCGTTTCAGAGAGGAGCAATTTGACTGAAATATTCAGCATATTCTAACTGTCAACTCTTTATCTAATCTCCCATAATGCCAATTTAAATATGTGTCTGTTATATAAAATCAAACTGAAACAAAAATATAGTAAGCGAAAATGAATAAGCCTATATAACAGGATAATTCAGCAATATTTCCGGCCTGAAAATAAAATATCAGCAATGGTTAAAATTGGACATTACCTTTTTTTAATTTTTTGTTGAACAACATACCATGTATTAAAAATATTACAAAGAATACAAATCTGGGTTGGCTAAAATTTTTGGCATCTGAAGAATTACTTAGTACCCTAATTAGCATGAATTCCAGCACCTTTGTTTGCTCTCATTCATTCTAATAAATAAACATTTTACAATTGGTACACGAATCGTGTACCATAATGCGTTTCAGCGCTATTTGTAATAAGGGACTCGAAAAACAAGGCTAGGCATATTCCACAAGTCATGTCAAACGTTGATGCTATATTTTTATCTGGCGAGCAAGGCCAATAAATACTATCAGATTAGACTGGAATAACCAGAAGCTAGAGATTGAAATTCGATTGACAATACTGGCGTATGTCGCAGAACCTAACTGATTAGAAATTACAGTAAAAACAGAAACGGTTGAATGTAAATCAATTTATATACATTCATATTACATTATTGTATGCGTTGCGACCCATTTGTGTCAATTTCTAGGTCCCAAATATTAGCGACTTAGCTCCTTTAAAACACGCTTCATATGGAAACAATCACTGAGTTTATTTCACACTACGTTTCAACAAGTTCCTCTTGTCATTCTCCAGTAAATAATGACAGTGTAATGGCAAGAAATCAAGTTATATACAACAAGGTAACAAAAACAATAACTATTCTAAAACCATCAAAGGGCTAATAAAAAAAGAACAATAATAACAATAAAAAATGGACATTAAAGATATAATCCCTCATCTCTATTAAGTGCAGGTTTAAATCTTGATGGCATCAAGTATTTTTCTTCTGATGGCCATTTCAGTGTGAAATAAACTCAGTGAATTGTGTTTTAATATTACATGTTTTATCTCACCAAGATAATATATATCATATATCATGTACAACAAAAATAATCCTAACGTAACACTCAACGAATTATCGTATTTCTTCATATTAACGTAAACGATCATATATTTAAAAGGTATTTATGCCATATCCTTAAATGACATTTAGAAGTAGTGGTATAATATTCATAATAACACAACTTTATGGATCTACTACTTCTTAGTTTATTACATGCAACGTTTCAATACTCTTACAGGTATCTTTATCAAGCAATGATCAATAATGAATAACAACCTACATTTATAGTACATCCAATATGACTAAGACAATAAAAACATAACATTAATTAAGAGTTATAACAACAACATTTCCCTTTGACAATGACTTCACATCTCTCTTATTAACAGGTAAAACCGGAGACTGAAGCCACCACCAAGGCTTAATAAAAATCATACTATCAATACCCCTTTTATACAATCAAAACGTAAATAAATTGGTTAGTGTCTTATTTACTCCCATTTGAGCATCAAATATGTAACTGTAGTGTAAGGTCAAGTCAAGTCAAATCAAATCAAATCCTATAGAAATTTATTGCTTCACCACTGTACTTCTACAGTAATAAGGCTACATATCAATAACATGCATACATAATAATAGACTCAAATGAATTTGCTATTATGGTATACAAACAAAATATATCTATAGTAGCCTATTTCAGTATTTGTGTGGACTGTCAAGTCAAGTGAGTAAAGGTGTGAGCAGCCTGTTCTATTGGTTGTTGTGAGGTGATCTGACAGCACAACTTACAAGCATTTATTATGGCAAGTTATGGAAAAAAATAAATCATACCCAACAAATATGGCAATAAATGGATGAATGAATGAAAGCAAACTTAACTGAGTGACTAAAAAGTGTGAGCAAAATCTGACGTACAAGTATTTGAGAGGCGTTGACGTTGAGCTGAGAACAAATTTAAAATATGGATAATTACAACAATTGATTCATGAATAAAATTTGGAAGCGAAAGAAGAACAAATGCGAAGAATCAGAATGAAATAAAAAAAAAAAGATATTGACAACCGCTTACATTCTTTCTCTGTTGCAGTCTTTTCAACCTTCAGAATTTTGTACAGGTTATCTGTGTCGAAATAGTTTCGACAATTTTCTAGCAGACTAGACATTCTGCTTGCTAATGCTATATACTAAATAAAACCGTAAATTACTCTATGACAATAACAAACAACCCGCCATTTTCTATCAAATGTTGTTGAATAAGCTTGACTGGAAGATCGGAGCTAGAATCACCAAATAACTACGTGTTAATCCGCAGAATAAAAGTTTTGAAAAAAGGGAAAAATTGTCAGATTTTCATGAATTCATTCAGAAAATAATAAATTAGAATGAGTAGTAAACCAGAAAAGGAGAAAAAATTAAAAAAAGGAGGATTTATAGGTTCAATTCGCAGGAACTACATTCGTGGGTAACCAGGTATTGGCCGTTGCCCAGTGGTGAAAATAAGTGCGTGTTTGACGATGTGATTGGCGTGGGGATATAGCTCAGTGGTAGAGCATTCGACTGCAGATCGAGAGGTCCCTGGTTCAATCCCGGGTGTCCCCTGTAAAAGCTTTTTTTTTTTCTTCGGCAGAAAGAACGGGTTTAGGTCGGAGGGGCCATTTTGCGACAACGGGGGAGCATTGTGACCCCCATTAGACGGGTCGATTGCCAATCAATACAAGGCCGGCTTTCGCGCATTCGGTGTTTGTTTAGCGTGATTAAACTGTTATTAGAGTGAATGGCTTCCTTCGGATTGGCCGCTGCCTGGATAATGAAGTCTACGTACGTTGAACAAACGACTAGGGTCCTGCCGGGTGTCGTGTGAGCATAGACGGCCGGAGACGTGATAAAAACCGGGTCTTTGCATTTCTGTCATTTTCTCGAATAGTTGCACGCGTCGAACCAAACGCCACATTTTGATATCGGACTCGGGGTCGCACGTGTCAAATGAAGCAAGGAATGTCCGCCGTCAATATCCGTGCATGCTAATGAAGACAGTCGTCGAAAAGCGTTGCTTGCAGCACGGCGGTATATATAGATCGACACTCTCCCATTAGGTTGTACTACTCACGTAGTACATATACTAAAATTGGAACGATACAGAGAAGATTAGCATGGCCCCTGCGCAAGGATGAC